AAAAAAAAAAAAAAAAAAAAAAAAAAGATGGAAGGTGTGATATAAATTTTCCCATAAAGTTTAAATTAATATTAGAAAGTATGATGTGTGTAAAAATAAATTAATATAAAAAGAAACAATAATATGAATAACAATTGATTTAAAATAAAATAAAATATAAAAAAAAATACAAATTGCAGCTGAACCTTGAACGGATATGTGGGGGCCACTTATTAATGAATGCCCTGCATCCGTATGAATGGCCCCATCTTTCGTTTGAACGATCTAAAAAAAACACAACTACGGATGCCCTTAAGAAAACAAATGAGCGAGTTAAAAATAATTGATTTTTTTAAACAAATTCATATCCAGTCTCACCCTTAAAGTTATAAGTTAGTTAGTTAGTTCACATTTTAAAATGTATAATTTACATATAAATTATATTTATAACATAAATTGTAATAAATAATATAATTTTATCATGACCAACTAATTGACTATAAATTATTATTATTATTATTATTATTATTATTATTATTATTATTATTATTATTATTATTTAGTGGATTAATAGCTAGCAAACAATAATTTAGATTTGAAACTGAAATTGGACACTACAAAGATAGATTGTCCATCAACACATAAGAGCACCCACACAATGCTTTGGGTCTAATTTTACATATGTGGCATATAAATAGACTTAAGTCCTAAATGACATGGACAAATCTAAGTAAAAAAACTCAAAAGCTATTCAATGCAAAAATAAAATACTAGGTCTAGCATACATGACAACCAATAAAAATGCTCTAATATATTTCATTTATTAAAAGAAAAATTAAATAAGGAATAAATGATGAGTGCTTGGATTTGTACTTGGGTCTAAAATAGACCCAAGTGTGGACTAGTTCTCTTTTTTTTTTTTTTTATTGCCACATAAGTTAGACTAGGTCCACTTTTAATTGCATTGGGAAACACTTTTTTATAGACTAGGTTGATATAGCCATACTGTCTCATAACGGTTTAGACATTATCGAGTCAATTTACCCGAAGTCGATTTCTCCTACGGACTCATAATATCTCCGATCTATGAGGGCCCAGGCATATCTCTCAGTCGACTTCTATGTGTCGACTAGCAGAAGTCGACTCCCACTAGAAAGATGGGCAGGCGCATCAAGGTTTACCAATGATCGAAGATAACCCAGTCGACTCAAGTTGATATCTCGAGTCGAATGAGGACTTCTCGTGGCTCATAGACCTCCGACGATTCCGATACACTTCAACATGTCATAGGGAAGCTGTCAAGGATAAGAAGGAAGCTATTAAGGATAAGAAGGAATATAGATGCTGACTAGGAGATGGATGGAATGCGAACCGACCAGGGTATTTTGGACATTTCCGATAAGTCGGTCAGGGCATTTTGGAAACTTTAGGTAGATGCTTTCCTCCTATATAAAGGAGTTGAGGTAACCCCAAAACCCTAACTCCCATTCATTCTATACTTTGCTCCATTACTGCTGCTGCTCTCTGAAAGTAGCTCTCTTCATCTCTTTCACATACTGACTTGAGCGTCGGAGGCTCTACGCCGGAAACCCCTCCGGCGTTGAGTTCTTGCAGGTGTCCGTGCGGTTCAACGGTTCGACAGCGATCGAGGCAGATCTGAGCCCATTTCCATCGGTTTATTTCAGATCTGAGCTTGTTCCCATTGATTCGCTCCAGATCTGAGAGGAGACCCATCATAGGTCTAGTTCCTACATGACATGTAATTTTTTTCTAAGAGACCCAAAGCATTGTGGGTGCTCTAAGGAGCATAGTAGTATGTATATTTTTCTGAGGAATTGGTTCTTTCTTATGAGCCTGAAGTGCTGAATTTATATACATAAAAAGTAAATAAATCATGAGACGAGCATGTTTGTGTATGGATATTTTCAAAAAAAAATTCCAACATTTTAACTCAACCACTTTTTTTAACCCAACTTTAACGATTTTTTACCAAAAAAAAATCAAAACTTAACTTGCAGACAAAAAAATATAGGAAAAAGTGGGAGTGGAAAGAAATGAAAAGCACGTATTCAGTGAATACGTTTTCTGCAATTTTTAATTGTAAAACGTATTCCGTGAATACGTTTTCTTTTGTAAAAAAAATGTGAAAAACGTATTCCTTGAATACGTTTTACAGTGAAATTGTAAAGAAAACGTATTTAGTGAATACGTGTTTTTGATTTTGGTCCACTCCCCTTTTTCTTTTTGTTTTTTGTCCACTTACTATTTTTTTATTAATAAATACATAAATTACCCCAACTTTAACTCAACCTCACTATTCAATATAATTAACTAACATCAATCAATCATTAATACACACTACATCAACCTTAATTCACTATTCATCCACTCACATTATTTTAACTAACTATCACATCAAACCATCTCTCTCCTACTTTTACATCAAATCATTTTAATTATTTTATTTTAAATATTATTTTAATATATCCACTAAAAACTAATCATACCACCTTTTTCAAAATTAACTAAACCAAACCAAAAATCCAAAACAAAACCAAAAATTTTCATAAACAAACATGCTCAATTAGGAGCCAACTAAGGGCGTGGGATAGTGTCACGCATTCCTGTACAGTATGCAAACTCAATCTCACATCGAAAAATTAAAGGTTCTTAGTTCAATATATAAATTTGGTGGCTACTCCTTCTATTACCAATTGGTTTTAGAATAGAACCCCATTTGAGCTTAATGGAGAATTGAGTGAGTTGTTAATCCCAACAATTGATATTAGAGCCACAGTTGGTAGCCCAATTGCAATGTGGATGACATGACATGTTCCCCGTGGAGTCGGTGGACGGTTGGTGAACCCCTGTGGCTTGTGTCAGGCGGCGGGTTCCGTAGGAGAACACTCGACATCATGCAACCATTAAGCCTATTATCGATAAATGGTGTGCATAGTTGTGTAACTATGAATAGTTTCATTTTTTTCTTTTCCCTATGACGATATGGGAATATGACCGAGCAAGGGAGAACTTGGCCAAACGGCCAAGAGAATATAGATCAGACGGACTATAACATGAAGATAACACAGCGTCATAACATGACCATCACATAATCCATCGACCCATGATGCACTGATAGTCTACAATTGCAGTCGAAAAACCAAATAAACATGCCCACCAGTCACAAAGCACAAAACAAACGATAACAGCAGTTAGCATTCCACAAGACTTTGTACACAGCATCTCTAAAAAACTTAAAGCATGAACCCATTAAGACTGCATGGCATCAGCATGATAGATCTCGAGCTCCTTGTCAAGTTCATCAGCCGATTTTTTAACAGTTCTCTTTCTCCGTGCACGTCCACGGCCACGGCTGCCGCCACCTCCACGGCTGCTGCCGCCACCTCGGAGATTGCTTGGGCCACCACGACTTCTTTGCCTGGCCAAAGTTATATATAACTTAACATTAGAAAAATATACAATTGTCTACGGTTCTCTCCACAACTAAGCCACTATCAACTCATCTTTAGGCCTTAACCCATAAAAAACAAGAACATAATGGCATGTGTCAGAACTCAGATGGCAAACTATTTCATGATAATATAAAGAGAATACGCCAGAGCATGGTCTAATACAATAGTGCAAATTCATAATTCTTATTACACATCTGTTTCCAAAGCATAAACATCAAAATTCTTAAGATCACATATGAAGAGTTCCCAGCTTCTTGAGAGAGAGAGAGAGAGAGAGAGAGAGAGAGAGAGAAAGAGAGAGAGTTGTACACATATAACAAGGTAAACACGCAAACTCAAGATTCATAACTTAAAAGCATCAACACAACCTACATTTAGCAACTTACACAGAATTGTGATTAGCAGCTGCAAAGCCACCTCTGGAACGGCCAGGTCCAGGCCTGCATTAGTGAGAGCACATTAAACTTCTCTTTGTTGAGGAAATAGAGTTCGGAAATCATTACTTTGGAAAATAGATTGATGAAAGTGTAGCGTTTGGAAAAAGATTGAAAGCACAATATTCATTAGTGACGAACGGTTTTGTTATTCATAACTAGTCGTAAATAACCTTTACCTTTCTTGCTCAAAATGTTAAACAGTAAGGAAACAAACCAACAAGAAAATAAACAAAAATCTAGAAAAAAATAGCAACAAACATTTAAGAAAAGATTGATGAAGTTTGAAAAATAAAAGAACATACGTCATGACAACTGTCCTCTTCTTTCCATTTGGTCCACCAACATTAAAACGAGGTGAAATGGGGATCTCCGCATTGGCACCTATTATGTCTATCTTCATAGGCCTTCCATCCAGCTGAACATTGTTATATCGCTTAAATGCTTGAAGTGCATCTGTTTTTCTAGCAAAAACCACCTCAGCTGTCCCCTGTTTCAATAGGAAAGAAAAATCAATCAGGTATAGAGAAAACAGGCAAAATAATGTTTTTCATATGAAAAGATTTTTCATGTTCATGTTTCAAACAATAATCTCCAAGCAGATTTCCAAAAAATTAATGACCTTCTTGGAAAATGCTAAAAAAGGCATTTCTATTAATAAGGTATTTTCAGCAAGTGAAAAACATATTCTGGCATTGCGTTGAATTAAAACGATCCAGTTTGCATATAAACTCATAACACATTTAAAACTTAAAACCAAAAAAGTAAATAAGTATATGAAAATCCCCCTTCATCATGACAAGTTCCCTTGTCATTTTTCATTTGAAATTTAGAGGTCCTTTTTCTTATTAAGAGCGGAAGTTTCTTTGCAGGAACTAAGGGGGTTGTATTCAATTTCAACTTTTAGAGATTTTTTAAGACTTTTAGAATTCTGGTGTGTTCAAAAAAAATTTTTAAAGACTTTTGAAAAGTTTACATGTATTCAATTGAGACTTTTAATGACTTTTAATAAGTCTCCAAAAGTCTCAGGGTATTCAATTAAAACATTTTGAGAGTCTTTATAAGTCATCCGATATTCAAAACAGAATGACTTTGTGAGACTTTTTAAATTTTGAGACTTTTAGAGACTTTTGTAACAAAATTACAAAGGAAAAGTCTCAACAGAAATCTATATTGGTGAGATTTTGCTGGACTTATGTGACTCTTTCACGCTCTCTTTCATTTTTTTTCTTTCTAACATGACTTTGTATCTCATATTATTTTCATGCTCTATTATTTAC